TCTCTGTCTCTGTCTCTCTCTCTGTCTCTCTCTCTGTCTCTCTCTCTCTCTCTCTCTCTCTCTCTCTCTCTCTCTCTCTCTCTCTCCCCTCCCTCTGTGTGCCTCCCTTCCTCTCTTAAAAAGAAAGGCCCTTACAGCTGCATTCCCTGCCCCCTTGCAGTTAGCCAGTTCTGATTTTCAATGGGACAAGGGCGTCATATCTCCTTTGGGGAAAAATATATGAGCAGGCCTTAAACTCAGCACCTATCCTGTGCAACTCAGGCAGTGATCATGTCAGGTGACTCAGGTCCTCAAATAGAATGGCACGTGTTCTCCACTGAACTGGATGATCATGTTGGGCATTGGCACATCCCCGGTAGGTGAACAGCGCAAAGGTGGTTCGATCTGCAGTCATAAACAAGCAATCCAGTGCAGTGGAAGAGCCACCAGGCCAGACAGGTGGACACACGGTCTACTTGTTGACATTGATCTCTTATTGGCTATCCTTGCTTGCTGAAGTTTTCACACTTCCTTTACAGGTTCTCGTCTTTGTCAAGTTTGACTCCACTGAACTGTGGGGTGTTTGAGGCCAGGAAGAAATGCTGAACATATCCAGACAACGCGCAACAATGTTGTTCAGATGATGCTTGCCACGTGGTGCGTATTCTTGACTTTGCTTAAGAGCAACATCAGCTAGGAGTGCTGCTTATGGAGGTAATACCACAGCCGACCCAAACCAAGCCTTCATGACATTTGGCTCCCGGGCATGGCCATAATCGGTGTTTAAAACTCCTCACAACCTGCCACGGGTGCAGCTGAGCCCAATTTGCACGAACAGACCTGTGCCCAACCTGGCCCAGTCCCCCAAGAAGAACCTCCGCCAGGCCCACCCAATGGCACCCATAACTGGGCTTATTTTTCACCACTCAGACCTGGTTGGGACCCTAAGCACATCCTCACTTGGACCACCTGCAACAGGGCTTGGCTTTCACCATCTGGACGAGCCTATACCCAACCTAGCTTCTTCAAATTTCCCCACCTGATCCCACCAATACTCCGCTCGGTTGTTCCTGCCCTTGGCATCAACCCACCCGTCAATGTACAGTTCATGATCAACCATTGAAATTTGAAACTCATTCGAAGTAGTTTTACGTATGCCACTGACTTGACACCACGTCAGCAACTTGAGACAAGTGGGCAAACGAACGGCAATTCTCAGAACAACTGAAGACATGATTGGGGAAGGAAAAAAAGAGAAGCCTTACCACAACTATACTATAGACACAAGTGGGAACAAAAAGAACTAAAAATAAAAAACATCAGTCTCAATGCTATTAATAACACGATTGACAATCTGTTTTCTTGGAAACAACATTCTCGAAAAGCCTGTTATTGAAGGCGATATGACCAGCCTTCAGTAGTAGGTACCTCCTTTGGGGCTCCTTTCCAATGGTGGGGAGCATCACCTGCTGGAAACTGGACTCACCGTCCAATATTCAACCACCAGTACTTCCGGGCCACTGAATGCCCTGTGCACCAAGCTTTGTCGAACTGCCAGCACGACATTATTTTTTTCTTGTGACTGGCATCGCCAGCCATTGTGGTCCGGTAGCCTCGAAGACCGGTTAATGAGGTGTGTTAACGTCAAGGGCCGGCGGTCAATGTATAAGGTTGTTTAATACCTTTGACAAGCAGCCAGTTTTTTTGTCCTTGATCCACTAGCTTTTTTTTTTTTTTTTTTTTTTAAATCATAAAGGCTCCATCTATTGGTGGGGAGCAACACCTGCTGGAAACCGGGTCCAGCGTCCCATAAGTACATGAATGATACAAAGGAATGGTATGCCTGAATCATAAAGTTGAGATCCTTGATCGACTCTGACTGACGGTCAGGCCCAAAAAAGAGTATCCATTCCCACTGTGGGATTGAAATGCACACACCTTAGAGTCTAGTTAGACACTGTTTGAAAACTGATTGCCAGGGTAGGGCCTGGCTATACCTCAGCCTGCACAACATTTCTTATATATATATATTGTATTATATATATATATATTATATATATATATATCCTACCCCTTAAGCATGAGCGGCCCGCGGGGGGAGGTTGTGTCTGCTGCGCGCCAGAATCGGGCCGAAGTTTTGATTCGGGCCAGTGGATGAAGGCGATCGGGGGAGGGGCAGCGTCCGCTGCGCGCCGGAATCGGGCCAAAGTTTTGATTCGGGCCAGCGGATGAAGGCGATCGAGGAAGGGGCAGCATGCAGCGGCCGCCGTCGGATAGCCGCTGCCCCTTTTTTTTTTAATTCATTTGCAGTTCCTTTTTTTTTCCCACCCACCCACACACACACACACACACCCACCCACCCACACACAAACACTCACACACGTTAGTATTAGTATATATACATATATTAGTATTAGTATATACAGTATTTGAAGTTCGTTCACAATGGTTGGGTTGGGGTTTGAACCCACACACAGATTTTGAAATACCCAATTGCCTGATGCTATAACCACTATGGTGGACTGGGTCCCTGTCTGTTTTGGGGGCCTGCCGTCTTTTGAAGTGTATCCGACGTCAGGCTGCTGGCACGTCAGGATGTGTCTGTGTGTCCGAACCCTGACGTCGCGCAGGCGGGTTCGGGCCAAGCATTTTCAAGCGTGAAGTTTGACGATTTTTCACGCTCAGAAAAATTAACAAAAACATATGAAAATTTGACATCCTGTAGATTAGGCCGTGATCTTTCAAGGAAAAACATCAGAAAAAAAAAATAAAAAAAATTTAACGGTGAAGTAAATGCCGCGCTGTTTTGTCACATTTTCTATTTTTGTTACAGTAACTCTACCACGTATGGGCCAATGGGAAAAGATACCCAACGTTCGCGATTTTTTGCAATCAGAAGGATGACCCAACAACTCTGAAACTTTGAGGGTCTACAGATTTGCTCGTGATCTTTACAGGAAAAATAATGAAACAAATAAGAAAAATCATTTCAACCATGAAATAAATCGCGGGGGTAATTCAATGCAAATTTCAAATTTTGCCACTCTGCCAGCTCCCCCCACTGTACTACCGGTAGCCCTCATGGACCCTGTGCAACCGTTTGAAAGCCGCGAACGCACATTCATGTTCAAAGGCGCGCGTTCAAATCCCCCGCGTGCGCGTTGAATCGCGTTCAAACGCGCGGCGCGCGCACGCGCGAAAAAATTGAACGCGCGCCCGTGGGGCGTGTGCGCGCGCCGGGGGCTACGGGGTGGTGGTCCACGTTCGCCGAACCCCCAAAGTGCCAAAAACACCCCCTGGGTACCCACCCCTCACCCCGCCACCCGCCAAGGCCCACCACCCCTCCCCCCACCCAACGGATGACCACCCCCCCAACGCGTCACCACCCCGCCATTGCCCGCCAGCACCACCCTCCGCCCATACCTCTGCGCCACCCGGCCACGTTTGTTTTTTTATTTTTTTTTGCCGCCCACAATTACAACCCCCCAAACCACTCCACCCATTTACACACACACATACACACACACATACACACACACATTCACACACACACACACACACGCACACACACACACACACACACACACACACACACACACACCCACACCCACACACACACACAGACACACACACATTCACGCACGCACGCACATGCACACACAAATTCACACCCTCACACACACGCGGGCACATTTTTTTTTTTTTTTTCCCAACATTTACAACCCCCCAAACTGCGCCACCCATTTACACACACAAATACACACACACATTCACACACACACACACACACTGCGACATTTGTTTTATTTTTTTTTCCCAAAATATCTGTTTTTTTTTTTATATCACAAAAGAAGCGGTTTGACAAATTAAAAAAAGGGTTGTAGGCAAAAAAAAAAAGGGTGGTTTGGGGGGTTTGGGTTTTGAGGGGTCTGGAAGCACTTTGGGGGTTTGGGTTTCGTGCGTGTTCAAATTGCGCCAAACCCAACCCCCCCAAGTCCGCCCACGCCCCCGAACCAAGGTTTTTGTGGTGCTCATGCAGTGGGAAGTGAGATTTCAGAGACATCAGTACCAACCCAAAAATGCCGATGAAAAAGTATACTAAAAATACACTAAAAAGATAATCTCCGAAGTACCTAACTGCGCAAAAAAGTATGACTGAAAAGTAGACTATAATACAACATCACGAAACACTACGTCTGACATGGATAACAAAAAGCTGAGCTACACTGAGAAAGTCAAGAAAACGCAAGTCCGTACTCCATCAACAATCGTCGTGTGCACGCGGATCTCGCTCGGACCGATGAGAACCTCGTCCGTGGGACCGACCACTGCCACGTCCTCGATCTCTCTGACGCTGCCCGCCACGTTTGCCAGTCGAAGGCTCCGGAGCGACGGGACGCTCGTCGGGGTCGTCGTCCATAATGACTCTCCTGCCTCTCACCGTCCTGGTGCCTGCGGCTGCTAGGTCATCACGTCGGCGTGACTCGCGTGCCATAGGTAGGTCGTCTGTCCCTGAAGTCTCCCCCTCCTGGCGTCGATCTAAGGGCACGTGTCGGGCCTGCCTCGGTCGTGTAACAACGTCAGACTCCTGCAAAATAATCGACACCTCTCTCAAACCGTACGTCCGCGGCAGATCCACTGCGCTCGTCGTGGCACCGCCTGCGCCCTCACGTCTGCCGTCGCCGTCGCCACCGCTGCCACCGCCGCCACCGCCTCTACCATCAAACCCTGAAGCTACAACATCTCGACGTCTTGCACTCGTGGAAACCCCTCTCAAACCTGGCTGACGATCGGCACTCGCCGTCGTCACCCGTCTCGTCTCACTCTATGGCCGATCAGTGCGACCGAACAACATGGTGTCCAGCAAGGCCCGCGCACACTCGGTAGTGTAACTTCGTCTACGGGCAGCCGACCTCGGGGTGAGACTTCCTCCCTCCCCCGGAGCTACGGTCGCGGGTGACGAAGGGCCTGCAACCCCGCCAGATCACGGTATGACGGAACCTCCAGAAGGTAAGCCCCCTGCAGCCCCGCCAGATGGCGCTGCGACGGAACCTCCAGAAGGTAAGCCCCCTGCAGCCTCGCCAGACGGCGCTGCGACGGAACACCCAGAAGGTAAGCTGGGGCTGGCTGGCCCCCAAGACAAGTCCTGCACGTGAGGCAACTTCCCCTCCTTTGGGACTTACCTTAAAATGCACTGGTCAATCTCCGTCAAATTCGTCCTGCCGTGCTCCTCCAACTCCTTAGCGGTCATAAAACCAAAAGGGAGGCTGCCCCGAGGCGTAGCCACATACCTTATCTCCGGCCTCGCCCGTGACGGTGCAAAAGTGGGGACCGGAGGTATGCACTTGCCCCTGCCTACACGTCGGTCCTCGACTGGGCCACCGCGATGTGCACGACGCCTATGGTCCTCCAAAAACGGTGCCTGATGTGGCACCACTGGCCCCACAGTTGTGCGAACCACCAAAGTCTGTGGCATCTCCTGTCCGTCTGCGTCACGCCTGTCGACCTGTGCGGGATTACCCCCCCCAGACGTGGACATCGGATCCGCCTGAACAGGCACCCCCACCCCGCCAACATCAACGGTCCCCGCTACGCCCCCCTCCCGGGCCTCCCCCCCGGTGGTCGGTGCTCTCCCCTCCGCCTGTGCCGATGGGCGCATATCATCAACGCCCACTGACTGCCCTGTCTGTATGTCCTCCAGACCCGGGGACATCTGCACGGCACCCTCAACTAAACCTGTGGCCAGAGGCACGCCCTCGACCTCATGCGACGTCTCCTCGGGCCTCAGCTGGACGGCAGGAGGCTGCACCGACTCCGAACGTGGCTCCTCTGCCGCTGCCAACCCGCTCTCGTGCGTCCCCTGCCGAACATCCACTCCCATACTCGAAGCCTCGGTTAAAGTCGCCTCCCGCTGCGTCGTATCGTGAACCTCTGTCGGAGGATCCGTGTGGGCACCCGGCGCTACGTCAAGGGACGCCGACGTAAATGTCCCCAGCTGTCTCCATCGCTCCTCCACCGCAACACGGGCGTACGCCTGCGTCCTGGGGTCCCTCTGTGCCATGAGGCACGCTCGACGACTCTCAAGCCTATCCAAGCTCTCCTCAGATGTCTCTCCAAGAGGTGTGCGATCCTCATCTCCCTCTGCCCCCGACATCACCTCTCCGCGCATGGCAGGGGAGAAACTGTTCGGGTCCAGGAAGCTGATCCGTCCCAATAAGGTCTGCACCCCCCCCATAGATATCCCCATGGGACTCGCTCTCTCCCCGGGGAAGACCCACGCTTTCTCCCGGGGGCATACCCACGTCACCAAACTCACTGAAACCGCCTCCGCCACCCGTCGGTATCCCCTCATCCCCGCCACTCCGAATCTCGTGCGCCTCAACCGCCGCAGCAACCTCGATACCACATCCACCTCCGGCCAACGCACCACCGTCTCCACCAGCCAACCCCTGTGTATCTCCCTCGTCCCCCTGGACCGGTGAAGGACCGCCTGCTAATCTGTCCTCCAATCGTTGTCTCGGGCCCCTCACCAATCTGTGCAATCGACCATCGCGGGCTAGGTGTCGATGAAGCTGCTCCGTCGAAGTGGGAAGAGCGGTGGATGATGCTATGCCACTACGATAGCCAGGGGCGCCCCCACCAATCCCCGACTCCGCCCCCCTGGAAGGTACAGACCCAGGATCTCTCTCCCGCTCAGTGGACTGCGGGGCAGTGGATGTAGGCCTCTGACGCTCTAGGGGGCTCCCATGACGACCCCTTGACTCCTCAAAATCAAGTCTAACGAAAAGGTCATCTCCGCCACTCCGTCTACGAACGTCCTCTGGGTCGCTCCACTCATCACGCTCATCTGCCGCACGAGTGGCAGTAGCAGGGACCGCCCGCTCGTCCTCGTCCTCGTGACCCTCGGAATTACTGTCGTCTCGAGGGTACGGGTGCAATGTGGCTGCTCGAGTCCCAAAAACATCGCCCACATCACTCGAAGGAGCTCTGGACCCACATGGGTCTCACTGCCAAGAACGTCTCTGCTCCTCGAGTTCCTCCCGCGTCCTGCTCTCGTCCGTCCCCTTCCACGAGGGGCGAGTCCCGATACCTCCCTCCACGTCCAACAAAGACTCATCTAGAGTCCACAGCAGCGCAAACCTGCGACCTGCTCACTGATGAGAGAGAAGGCGGACGTTGGCTGAGATCTCAACCAACTTCGCGACCTTCTCGAACTCAAGCCGGTTACGCTTCTTCGTCTGTACACCCTCGTGGACGGCCCAATTCCTCTCCGCAGCTCCGTAGGAGAGGAGCACGTCTACATGTACATCACACGAATAGCGATAGCCTGCAACTGCCGGGCGCACTCCCCTGACTTCGACCACCAACACCCGGACTCGTATGTCTCCGCATCGCCCGTACACCTCTGTGCCTCTCTGTCTTCGTCCCTTCCCCCCCACGCAATCATCCCCCTCTGTGTGTGGAAGTCGCGCAACTGCGCACATGCGGTCTCGTACTCGGGGCTCGCTACACTGAATCCTGTCTGCGACAAGATGTAAGTCTCCGCCTCCCTCACTAAGCTCACGTCGTAGTCGCTGACTACGCCCTCGAAGTACCGCAAGTCCTGCCGGCTGGGAAAAAGAAGGTGATCAGCGGCGTGCGCCGACTCCAACATGTGAGCACATCGAGCCTGCACCCTCTGCACAATGTAGTGTGCAAGATCGGCCGGAAGTGCACAAACATCCTCTGCTACCTGGCGGGCCACATCCTGTGTCCACTCAACCACCCGCGACATGTGCAGCCCTCCACGGTCCAACCTGCGCAGCAGGTCGTACACAGGCTCCATGATACGGAACAGGATGCCCATGGAATCCCACCAAGTGCCATGTCGCACCTGCCACCTCACCCACCTAGCCAACTGACGAACGGAATGGTCCCAAGAGACCATACCCCAAGTATCGCCGTCCATCGTCCTCTCCAACAAACACTCAATCATCGTGAACACGGATGCGAAACGTGTCTCGCACGGATAAATGAGGCCCATCTATCTGCTCTCCCCCCGGACGATATGGAGAGTGGCGCCGTGCTCCTTGATGAAGCGCACCACCGCTCTCCCCCTCACGATGATGTCCTTGGACCACGTGCCCGAACAGCCAATGTCTGACAACATCTTGTTGCAGACATGCACTGCGCATGGGAGCCACGTGATCCGTTGATGCTTTGGCCTCTGCTCAGGCCCCTGGAGCATGTTCGTCGCGGCGACGTACGCCGAGGCGGAGTCGGTGCAGATGGCGTTCACCCACTTAGGGGGGAAGTCATCAAACACCTTGATCCAGCGCGCCAACACATCAGGCGCCCGATCCCGCTCACCCTCCCTGTTCATCGTCCGGACGAGCATGTTCATCGTTCGGACGAGCATCACCCCACGCGACCCGCCGGCAAGGAAGTTAACGATGGGTCTAGCATCGCTTGACTTCCTTCCATCTAATATAATGGTGGCCCCCGTGACATAGAAAGGAGCCTTGACCTCCGCAAGATCAGCTCCCACATCGTCCGCTGTGTGGACAATGGTCTCTATGTCCACAATCTCGTTCTCTGAAGGCCACAAAACCTTCACTGGCCCTGGCCATTCCCTGAAGTGCCGAACGACGTCCAACCACGGCCACCTCTTCTTGAACTTCATCTGCCACTTTGAAGAGAATGACTCTGTGATGGTGTTCTGCCTCAGCCTCTTCTGTGCTGCCGTCGGTCGCGTCCCCTCCTCTCTCTCCTTCCTCTTTCCCGTAGACGGACCCGCCTCATCCGTATCCACACCTGCCCGTGCACGAGATGACACGTGCGCCGATGCAAAGTACTGGCCCTGCTGCCCCCCCGGCTCGCTGACAACGCCCTTCCTTCAATCCCTCCCTGACGACCCTGCCCGCGCAACCTCCTCGACGTCGTTGTCCACGTCGATCCGCTCCTCAGCGTCCCTCATCTCTCCCTCCTGCCCCTCGTCCCGTCGTGGATCCATCGCAGGCGCCAGACCGTGAAGCTCCTCAAACCGCTGGATCCGCTCTAGGAGCTTCTCGGACATCTTGTAGTCGTTGTTGAAGTGAATGTCGACAAGTGCCTCGTCGGTCACTTCCGGACATCCCTTGCCCTGCCGAAAATGGCGCCCCGCGACGAACTGTTTGCCCTGGAACTGGTGGCCGCAAAAAACGCACTTCAACATGCGATTGCCACGGAATCTCTCGCCGAGACTCTGTCCCACGCGGATGTACTTGTACACGCAGGATTTCTTCTGCGCCTTGCGGTTCTCGCCCTCCCCCACATCCTCAAACACCCGAGCCTGACCTCGCGGCATCGTGCCCATTCGCCGATGGGTTCACCGAAGTGGACTGCCGTCAGCCTGTCCCACGAAGCCCCAACTCCCGCCCACCTCCCTCCCCGCACAAGGCCCCGTCGGCCCAACGTTGAGCGGCCCCCGCAGGGCTGGCAACCCACCACCCGGGTCCCCGAACCCGCCACAATGCGGAAGACGCAGCGCGGCCCCTGGACAGGAGCGATGAACAACGCGCGTTCAAATAATTTAACGCGCGTTCAATGAACTTGAACGCGCGTTCAAAAAATTGAACGCGCGTTCAATTTTTAGTGTCGTTGCGCGCCGTCGCGTTCTCCCGCGCCGCTCCCCGTCGTCGCCGTCGCTTGCCAGGTCGCCCTCGCATACGCCGTTGCCGTCCCCGCGCAGCTCCACGTGGTCGCCTTCTCTCTCTCTCTCTCTCTCTCTCTCTCTCTCTCGCGTGCGCAGAATGCCACATGTCTCTCTCTCTCTCTCTCTCTCGCACGCGCGCGTGCGCACGCAGAATGCCACATGTCTCTCTCTCTCTCTCTCTGTCTCTCTCTCTCTCTCTCTCTCTCTCTCTCTCTCTCTCTCTCTCTCTCTCTCTCTCTCTCTCTCTCTCTCTCT